AAGTATTAAGAACATGAATTTTCATAACGACACGTGGAACAAACATTTCAGTTACTTCTTGAGTCAGAAAGTATTAAGAACATGAATTTTCATAACGACACGTGGAACAAACATTTCAGTTACTTGAGTCAGAAAGTATTAAGAACATGAATTTTCATAATGACACGTGACATTTTAGTTATTTAGGTCTAAAATTACATAGTACTGCAAGTTTCTAAATTGCACTATGTGCATGAAACTATTACAAATATTGATAACTTTCTTAATCATTGTTATACTCACCAACAGATGGCACTACAATAATAAACCTCTTTGACAGCCTCAGTTGTTTTAACAATGCCAAATTCTGACAGAACGAGCTGATGTCAGGAACAAGATAAGGTGAAAGTTGAGGACATTGCCCACTTCTTACTTTCGACTCCAGCTCATTTACTTCAGCCTGAAGTTCAAACTTACAATAAGATCATTAAGTTCAATAAGCATATTTTTGTTCATTTTGAGTTAACTAGTAAAAGAATGTTTCTTCCCTTTGCCTCAAAATAAAAAAATTATAATTTTCCTATACTGAAAATGTATTTCTGATAGGTAATTCCCTCCTCTCACACTTCCCACCCTTCCTTCCCACTGAAAACCAGTGCTTCCATCTTCTGACAAACTCGAAGTGATAGTTTGGTGAAAGAGTATAAAGGGAGTCACTTGCATCATGTGACTACGTCTCGCATTCCATTGGTGGAGAAGTGATGCATGATGATTAGCATGAGAGAAATGTTGGAATCACTAGATTCCAATAATGAGGAGCAGAAGGCTTGTGGCATGCATTAAAAAAAAATCGCATATAGAGGGCAGCACTGTAAGGGAATAGCTAATCTTGTAAGCGGAGGGAATTACTGTATTGGAAAACATACTATTCTTGTTAAGGTTTTTTAAACACATTATTCCACTTTGTGATGTATATAATTGTTGCTATTACAACAGCTCTACAGATTAACAGTCACACAAAATGCTGCTTTCCAGACAAAACACAACTTATTGACAAAATGGTTATTTACTAACTTTCTTACCTTCAACCAGAGATGTGCCATGTTCCTCATCATATGTTTTCTTTGACCTACAGGCTGGTCTACTCCCTGTGTAACAGAAAAAATCAAACTTGTGAATGTTAGACCGTATAACAGAGAAAATACACAACAAGATTGAATAATTATTTTCAGATTAATAAGTAGGCACCAGTTTTGTCAGAGTAACACCGTTTTAATACTGTATTACAGATAGTTTTAACCCAGATTTGTCAAAGTAACACCATTTTCATCCTGTATTACAGATAGTTTTCCTCCAGTTTTGTCAGAGTAACACCATTTTTAAAATGGTGTTACTCTGACAAAACTGGAGGAAAACTATCTGTAATACAGTATGAAAATGGTGTTACACTGACAAAACTCGGTTAAAACTATCTGTAATACAGTATTTTACTGTATTACGGATAGTTTTCCTCCAGTTTTGTCAGAGTAACACCATTTTAATACTGTATTACGGATAGTTTTCATCCAGTTTTGTCAGAGTAACACCATTTTAATACTGTATTACGGATAGTTTTCATCCAGTTTTGTCAGAGTAACACCATTTTATTACTGTATTACAGATAGTTTTTATCTGTGTAAGTATTTCATGGTGTAGTTGTTGGTCAATTCCTAGAATTAACTTGAAAAGACGATGACTGATTCTGGGTTTTACAGCATTCATACCTAATCTGTATTACAAGTAATAAAATGGTGACATACTAAGTTTGTGTGAGTGACAAAAGACATGAGTGATTTTGATATTTCTATATTGAAAGAAATACAAGAAAAATGTAATACAAGAATAGAAAAGAAATTTGAAAAAACAGAAAATTAGCTTTACTTACAGTTTCTGTGTTTTCTGGGCTTGTAACTCTACTGGTATTTTTCTCCATACCAGTTATGGTATACATTTTTTTTTCAGGATTAAAGGTGATTCCTGTCTTTGGTAGCCTGACTAATAATTGGCCAAAGTTATGTAGACACTGGATACGAAGGAAAGCCTAAAATAACCACATATATTTATTGTGTTTTAAATAAAAGCATTATTATCACTGGATAACAGATGATCAGCCATTTTAGTCTACACCGTCATAAGGTAATATAAACTCTGGTGAAAATCCTAAAACCCTTCTTCCTATGAAAGAATACAACGTGCACAAACCAAAAATTCATCATGACTAATTTAAAATAGAGGTATGTGCATATACACAAACATACACACATGTGCATATACACAAACATACACTTATATTTAAGATCGATATCAATTCTGCATCTGTAATGAAAATCTGGTGAAGCAAATGCAGGTTTGAAAACTAATATTTCATAACATCTTTTACTTTGAACGATGCAGATTTTAGGTATTAAAGTTTGATTTCAGCTTGGATAGAATCATACTGAATTTAATGTCTGATCCCCACTAAAACATACAACTAAATAGTACCACAAAACTATGACTACATTTTGGAAACAGATACATATGGAATTTAAAACAGTTTTTTGGCTAATTCCCCCACTAAAACATACAGCTAAACATTACCAGAAACTTAGAAAAAAAACATCAATTATCCAACTTGTAGGGGAATTATCACTAATTATTTTACATCAAAGGAATGATTGGAACTATTGATTTTAGTATATGATAATTTTATATTCATGAAAATTATTTCTCACAATGACAAAATTTACGTACTATTAAAAAAATGTTTCAGGATATTTGACAATATGATCAGTTAGTTGATATGAAGTTTTAAAGCATGTAAAGCCAAGTTTTTTTTGTATTTAAAGCCTTGCTTTAATTTATAGATACCCAACTTTTGAATGCTCGTATTTTATGAGAAAAAGATATCTATAAAGTGTTAAGCAAGTTCCAGCAGTTACTAACTTGTTCTTCTGAACTAAGGTTATACAGTTTGTCAAAATCAAGCTGAAGATGAAACTTTTGAAATGGAGTCAACCCACGTAGATTGAAGTCTTCTGGTAGAGGGCTGGTTTGTTTCCACTCTGGTCCACTCCATGAAAGTCCTTGAATGCTGGGAGTATTTGAAACTAACAAACAAAACCGTTCAAAATCATTCCAACTAATCCCATTTGATGTAAGCTAAACACACACAAAGTGCTTTTATCAAACTAAACCAACAAACACGATTCACAGGGCTAGTGACTTATGATGGTAACTGTGTTATCAAAACTAGTCTCGGTTGCAATTTCTAATGAAGATGTTATCTTTGATTGTGCCAAAAAATGTCACTTTTGTTTTTTACTCTTACAAAAGTAGCACACAACTACTTAGAATGAAATTCAAGGATATATTTACTTGTTTAATTAATAATGAAATTCAAGGATATATTTATGTGTTTAATTAATGAAATTCAAGGATATACTTAAGTGTTTAATTAATAATAAACTTCAAGGATATACTTAAGTGTTTAATTAATAAGGAAATTCAAGGATATACTTAAGTGTTTAATTAATAATAAACTTCAAGGATATACTTAAGTGTTTAATTAATAAGGAAATTCAAGGATATATTTACATGTTTAATTAATAATGAAATTCAAGGATATATTTACGTGTGTAATTAATAAGGAAATTCAAGGATATATTT